CTCAATCTAGCGTACAAAGTGACACATTTCTTTGCCTAATGTAATTTTTCACTTCTGCTTCTTTTACGTTTCGGTAAATTTCCAATGCCAATGTCATCACTTATTTATCATTTTCACTGGAAATGGAATAGAAAAAAGCCATGTTCTATGCCACGAAGAAGATGCACAAGCCAAAATGAAAGCATTGAATGGAATATTTTTCTTTCTGATGTTTTTTTCATTGCTTTGCTTTTAGTTCTTCGTCTTCTTCTAGTTCGATTCGATCTGGTTTGTTTCAAAGCAAAAAAAAATGCTTTCATCCTCCCATCCGTATTATTTTTGTTTCACATTCATCAAAAACAAAACAGCAAAGAGGCTTTGTGTCAGTCAAACAGCACGTATAATTTAATGTCAGCTCTAGGTTCTATGATAGGATATGTATACATGTCTGCTGTATGTATGTCGAAGTTTTGTTCCATTATTATTTACGTTCTGTTGACATGGACATAATCTACTCAGAGAGATAAAGCAAGTGAAAGTATCTCGATATTTAATACCCCTAGATTTTGGAAAATGAAAATCGGTGTTGTAGTAAAGGTTTATTGAAAACCCCTCCTGTATCTATTTATTAGCAGGTTGTCTATATAAATACGAGATTTTAAAGAAATATATTAAATACCTCTCATATATCTATTGACGATTGGAAAAATGCTTTCATTCTATGAAATCGATTACGAATTTTCTACTTTTTGAAGAGCTGATATAAGTCATAAATTACTAGAAATGTTCTAAATCTGTAGAAATGCCATAGATACAGGGTGAAATAAAAAACCAGTAAAGAAAGTAGTAAAGTCGGACTGGGCCGACTATATGATACCTTTCACCAGTTAGGGTATATCCCTCGAAGGAACATACTCATGTCTTTCTGCAATCCATAATAAATTTAATTTCATTCGGACAGATTTAGAGTCGTCTGCGTACCATGGGACAAATTTATGGAAAACTAGCTGGACCCGTGGCGCTTCGCTGCCCCTACTAAAGTGATTAACATGGAAAAGTTCACGTAGAAAACTATTTGTATGCAGTTAAAAGCTGATATAGGTTTTATAGTAGCCAAATTCGAAGATTACTGTTCGGCTATAGATATTTCGTAGTGTAATATCAGTAATTATATCGTAGCAGCTGGTTAATGTATAAATTATTCGATTCAGTAGATTACAAATACATTTTTAAATAATCATTGATTAACAGTGGTGACATTAAAAAAATTTGGATTGACTTATCTCAATAGCATTATACACTAATATATTTTCTACAATATTTACATGTTTATCATTAATCGTTCAAAGACCAACACAATCATTCATTCCCATTACCTCCAACCATTATGTCTGTATTCTCAACTGATTTCCCATTATGTGGCTGGGATCCCTTCCTCGCTCCGATTGATATCGCTAAGATCCCTGTTGTATAATTCCTGTTAAGGTTTTCAAAAGAATGCTTTATCACATTATACTATTTTTGCCGAACCTAGATTTAGTCTTGGTCTTAACTGTACATACCTTAGTATTTTTAAGAAAACCAAGATCAAGTCCGAAGATAGAATTTGTAGCAATTGAGTTAGTCGTTCCCTCTATACATCTTCGAAAAAAACTAAACTTAATACGTAATGGACACATTTTGTTTTGAGTTTAACTATGATGATAACCCACCACAGATTTCAGATTTTTATAACTTTTAATCCAGCATCAGCATTTCGCTGCTGGATATCTCCCAATTATTGCTGATTCATACTTTTATTGCATTCATATTTATTTTCCCCAATGGTTGTAGAATTATTGAAATTCAAAACAAAACAAAAAAGTTCCTTAACTGAATTTTTTCCAAAATGACAAAATGTAAAAATTATAATGTCAATAATTTTCATTTTACATAAATTTTATTAAAATATGTGAAGATAATGTAGAGATAACAGCAGACGTTCGCGGAATTACTGAACTGGTGGTTTTTTCATTACTGTTAATAACATAATAGAATAGGGCAACAAATTATGAGTCGAAAATTTCTGATTTGGACCAATTTTTACTTCCTGGTAATTTAAGATTGGATTTGTACTTATCTGAGTATCATACATACTTTTATGAACAGATTTATTCAAGATATTCTAATATGTTCATAGAAAATGAATATTAGTTCAGAGGTATGATTACGGTTTATGCTTTAACTCCTCGACATCGCGGAATTTTTGAAGTTTATTTTGCCTATCTTACTTCCATGGGATGGCATGACTGACTGTGAAAATTTCTGCCAAGTCAATTCAGCGATTTTTGTGTCTACAATCAAAAGCGTTTTTTTTTTCTATATATAGAGAAATTAAATTCAATTGGGAGTAAGATCTCCCCATTGTTTCACGCCAATTTTTATATGGATAATGCGTATTTGTAACCAATTTACTCAGCAAATTTTAAAGTGGGAATCTGGAACCCTTCTTAAGATATAAGCATAGAATTTCTATGTTATTTCAGAGTTGGGAATACTTTTGATGGTATAACTCGATATCCACGCGGAATTTTAGGTTTTTATCTAGCCAGTATTCTTTCTATTGGGTATCATCAGGTACTGTAAAAATCTCAGTAAAATCTATTCAGCGGTTTTTGACTTTTCAAACAAACATTTTTTTATTCTCTATATGTAGATCATTTAAATGCAATGAGGATTGCATTTCCCCCTAATATACCGCGCTCACTTTTGTATGGATGATGTGTATTTACATCAACGTTATTCAGACAAATTTTGAAGACGGAATCTCAAGCCGTTCTTAAGATATACGCATATTAAATGTTCCGGAATTTTGAGGTATGTTTACTATTGATGCTATAACTCTGCAACCACGCGGAAATTTTGGAGTTTGTTTAGCCTATGTTACTTTCAGGGCATGTCATGACATTCTGTGCAAATCTCATTAACATCTGTTCAGCGGTTTCTGCGTCTATCGGGAACATACACACAAACAAACAAACAAATTTTTTTCTGTTTTATATATATAGATAATTTATAGCAAAATATATATGGAAGCTATAGCTCCGTAAATATGGAAGCATAACGGAATAATGTCCTTCAAGTCTCAATTTGATACGTTGTGCAAAATTTTGTGTTAATCGGACAAACACTAGAAGTTTGGTGCACCATTTATGTAAAATCGGACAAATATATATGTTTATGCGAGAGCTATATCGAAATCTGAACCGATTTTGCTCATCGAAGGATATATAGGGACTTTGATGTACAATTTACATAAGATTGGACGAAAGTATATATGGAAGCTTTATCTAAATCTGAATCGACTTTTCCGAAGCTTGCCACTCATAATTCTAGACTCTGTACCCTATGCCAAATTTCGTGCAAATCAAAAGATATATAAAAACTTTTGAGCTCCATACACCTTAAATCGGACGAAAATATATATGGGAGCAATATATAAATCTGAGTCGATTTTCTCGAAACGTGGCACATGTCATTCTAGACTCAATTCAGTACCCTATGCCAAATTTCGTGCAAATCGATAGATATATAGGGACTTTGGTGCCCCATTAACCTTAAATCGGATGAAAATATATATGGGAGCTATATGTAAATCTGAACCGATTTTCACGAAACTTAGCAAACATCATTCTGGACCTAATTCAGTACCCTATGCAAAATTTCATAAAAATCGAAAGATATATAGGGACTTTGGTTTCCCGTTTACTTTAAATCGGACGAAAATATATATGGGAGCTATATCTAAATCTGGAGTCAATTCAGTATCCTATGCCAAATTTCGTGCAAATCGAATGATATATAGGGACTTTGGTGCACCATTTACATGAAATCGGACAAAACTATACATGGGAGCTATATCTAAATCTGAACCGCAACCCCAAATATATATGGGAGCTATATCTAAATCTGACCAGATTTTCTCGAAAATTGACACACGTTATTGTAGAGTCAATTCAGTATTCTATGCCACATTTCGTGCAAATCGTCCCAAAGTTCGCCAAATTTTGTCATAATCGAAAGATATATAGGGACTTTTGTGTCCCATTTATCTTAAATCGGACGAAACTATATACGAGAGCTATATCTAAATCTGAATCGAGTTTCTTCAATTTCAATAGGATTCGTCCTTGGGCCAAATAAGTGACTTGTGCCAAATTTCATCTAAATCGGATCATAAATGCGACCTGTACTTTGTTTACAATTAACGAACGGACGGACTGACGGACATGCATAAATCGACTTAAAAAGTGATTCTATGCATATTCTCAAAAGTAACCATGTGTCTATCTCGTTTCCTTTTGCCTGTTACAAACATATGCACAAAGACATAATACCATGTACCACAGTGTAATGAAGGGTATAAAAATGTCGGAAATAACATCAAATTTTAGAATAATTTTAGATTTGTTCGAATTGTTCACCTTTGGCACGAATTATGGCCTTCAAACGGTCAATGAAACACGCTGCCCTAATGTTGCTCTTCGGTATTTTGGCCCATTCCCGACGAAGCGCTAGCTTAAGGTGATCGACACTTTGGTAATTTTTAGTGCCAACTTTGCTTTCCAAAATACTCCAGACGGATTGGTATCCGGAGATTTTGGTGACCATTGTGCGCCGGGAAGCGAGGAACTTCATTTTGTAACCATTCTTGGCGCGTACTGAGTGCGATGTTGCTGAATCCTGTTGGAATGTCCAAGGTCTGCGGCCAAAATGTTTACGTTCCCAAGGCATTAATACACCCTCCAGAATATTTTCGCGATACTATTCGGCATTTATTCTGATGCCACGGTCGATTAATACGAGCGTAGAGCGACCATTAGCTGTTATGGCGGCTCACACCATCACCATGGCCGGCGCTTGAGTTCTGGTGGCCAACCAGATTTCTCCGATCGTATTAATCGAATAAATGCCGAATATAATCGCGAAAATATTCAGCCGACCTCTTGGCAAGTAAACACGGTAATTTTGTTTGTTTACAAACTGCTGGACAACGAATGTTTTCTCATCGGAAAAAAACAAATTCGGCAGTTCAACACTTTCGGCCAAGCAAAGCAACTATTTAGCTCTTTTGAGTCTATTTTCTTTCTGTTGCGGTTTATGTTCTTACACTTTTTAGAATTTCAACGGCTTTACCCCGAGCTCATTTTTCAATATTTTCCGTATGGAATATTGTGATATGTTCAGTTCACCAGCCATTTTTCGGCCACTGCGACGCTGGTTTCGATCAAATCGCTTCTTTACTTTTCGAACCATTTCTGCTGATGTTGCTGTTTTCTTCCGTCCACTTCCTTGACATCGGGCTACGCTACCAGTATCACGGTAACGAGCGATTGTACGAAACACAAAAGATTTATTTACATTTAAATGCTGGAGTGCTCTAACGATAGCCACTTGTGGTTTTCTAGCCAAATATAAAGAAACTAGCATATGCCCGCTACGTCGTTAGCGGGTCTTTCCAAAAACATTGATTTAGCTACACAATATAACTTTATACAGATTTATGCATTTCTAAGTATGTACTTACAATGATCCATATCACATTTTAAACTTGTTTAATAATCTCCACACTTTTGGATAGCTCCTATGCCTTAATTTAAAAAAAAAAATCTTAGATCTTAGTCTTCGAACATAGGCTTAATTAGCGTTGGTGCTCGAATTTTACTATATAGAGAAAACTTTACTCATTTTCATATATTTCTCAAATTCAACGGTATTAATGTTCAACATTTCTCATCACACCATAATATTCGCGTAAGTGGGGTTGGAAACATCATTAGAAATAAATGTCAGTACTGTTATGGTAAAAATCTTAGAAATATTTGCGTTTAAAAGTGTCAACAATTTAGTACTTGCGTTGTTCAGTGCCTTGTTTCACTTATTTGTAAAATTCTAAAATCATTCGCAGTACTATAAGTCTATGGATTGGAAACTATATTTCATGTAACTGTCAACGTTTTTAGATCAGATTTTGGATTATACAAACAAAATGTCAGCACTTTATCTCTACCCGTTCTGTCGTACACAATATTTAGAACCCTAAGTACTAAACTGCGAAAACATTGTTTGTAATACAAAAAGACTTGTACCAAATTCTATCTCCACCCGTACCGCCGTATACAATGTGTTGTACTTTTAAAAATTATTGCTGGAAAGCAGTTATGTATAAATGTTTGTCGTTATAGTTCCAGATACGTATTTAATAACAGGTTCATATCTTTATCCGTTCTACCGTACCCAATATTTAGTACTTGTTGGTACCTTTAAGTGCAATTTACCAACTTCTTGGTGTATTAGGCAATGCTAATTTCTATCCTTATAAACTTGTTGATGGCGCTGGGAATAATTATATTTGTATTTTAGAAGCCACATACACGAATTCCAAACTCTACCACTTCTAATCGCTCAATACAAATTTTGTAGTTTCCAGGCATTTTGGAACCCTTTTAATAAAAAACTTCATTACTATACTATTATGTTTGCGTACTAACTTTTCCCACTTTTAGTACAAATATTTAGTATTTTTCTATTTAGTACTTATTTCCAATAATATATATTTCAATTTTTAATCTACACCGTTCAAGTTGTCATTTAATATTTAGTTCCTGATTTCTATCTCTATCGGTTCTATTGTAATTCAATATTCATAATTTTTAGTACATTTTAGTACTAATTTCCAACAAAATATTTTTGCCCATCGTTCTATTTGTAATAGATTAAGTTACATACCATATTTCAGTACTTTTTAGTACCTTAAGTACTAATTTCCAAAATTTGTTCACACATCGCCCTTCGCTTATAATTGACAAAGCTGCATACCAAATTTCAAAGTTTTACTTCCTAACGTTCCGGTGTAATATAGTTTTAGTACTTTTTAGTACTATTAAGTACTAATTTCCAAAAAAATGTTCGCACCTAATTCTATTTGTAATAGCTTAAGCTCCACACTATGTTTCAGATATGAATCTTCACCGATTTCATTCAGATGTAATGTTTAGTACTTATTAGTACTAAATTTCAAAAATTTTTCCAACGCACCACTTGGCTTATCATAGGCAAAGCTACATACCAAATTTCAGAGTTCTACTTCCAACCATTCCGGAGTAATACAGTTTTAGTACTTTTTAGTACCTTTAAGTACTAATTTCCAAAAAAATTTTTTGCACATTATTCTATTTGTAATAGCTTAAGCTACATACCATGTTTCAGATATCTATCTCCACCGGTTCCAATGAAATATAATATTTAGTACTTTTTAGTACCTTCTAGTACTAAATTCCAAATTTCTTTCACACATTCCTCTTTGCTCGTCTTATACAAAGCTACGTACCAAATTTCAAAGTTCTACATCTAACCCTTCCCGCGTAATACAGTTTTTAGTACTTTTTAGTACCTTTTAGTACGAATTTCCAAAAATCAAGTTTCTAGCTTTAGCCGTTTCGTCTGGGCGTTGATGATCAGTCAGTCACTTATAACGCAACTCTTTTATATATATAGATCACACTATGACGCTTAAATTCCGTCAGAATAACTTTTTTTCTGGAAAATTCTCACCAAAATGCTTTTGTACACATTATCAACAATATTATGAGCTTTCACTGGATTAATTTTAACAGCTGGCGGACGAATGGCTTAGAAATGACAGCAGTCTGAAGTTGGTTGTAGTTTTTTCATCTCACCCTGTATCTTTTGTCATAGCAGGAAGGACAGTTATCGAGGACTCTGGGAAAATTCAGTCTCGGCATTATGGAACTAGACTGCCTAGAAATAAGCATCAGGCATCACTGTGTGGTGGTTAGAATGTCACGGCAGATATCAGGCACTATGTAGTCAAAAAACATGATGTTGCGTTACTACTAACAGCATCCAGGTTTCCTCATGGAGGTGATCGACTCTCGTCATCTGGACTCAATCCGTTGCAATTCGGAGTGTATTATTTTGTGATGTTTTACAAAGATATCCGTCATATCTCTCTAAGGAAGTCCAGACTGGGTTTGGATTATTAAGGATGAAGAGACTGATTGTTTTATATATCGCTACCAACGTTTCTTCATCGTTACCGCAGGAGGTTACCTTCTGATTGCTGATCAAAAACCACACACAAAAGCGGTACGATTGACTTTGCAGTGGATACTTGGAGAATGCGCTCTCCGAAGAAGTTGGTGATAAAATAGCTGAAAATTTTATCTCTTACGTCGTTCATATTAACCACCGAAGAAGTCCAGTAGTATTTATGGGTATCACATGACCGGTCCCCTTCGACTATACTAGCATGCTTACTATACTGTGGCACATGTGGTGTCTTAGGGCTCATGTAGGTAACATACAAAAGGAAACAAGATAGGCCCATGGTTCCCTTTGAGAATATGCATGGAATAACTTTCTGAGTCGATTTATGCATGTCCGTCTGTTCGTCCGTCTATGTATTTTTGTGAACAAAGTACAGGTCGCATTTATATTGGATGAAATTTGGCACAGTTCACTTATTTGGCCCAAGGACGAACCCTATTGAAATTGGAGAAAATCGGTTCAGATTTAGATATAGCTCCCATATATAGTCTCGTCCGATTTTATGTGAATGATGTACCAAACTCCCAATGTTTGTCCCATTTGGACAATATTTTGCACAGAGTACTGAATCACGTGCATACTTATGTATGCGAAGTTTTGTTGTAATCGGTTCAGATTTAGATATAACTACCATATATAGTTTCGTCGGATTATATGTGAATTTTGCACAGCGCACTGAATCACGTGCATACTTATGTATGCAAATGTTGTAATCGGTTCAGATTTAGATATATGAGAGCATATGTAGTTTCGTCCGATTTTATGTGATTGATGCACCAAACTCCCAATATTTGTCCGATTTGGAAAAAAAATGCACAGAGTACTGAATTAAGCCCAGACTGTTGTCTGCGAAGTTTTGTTAAAATCGGTTCAGATTTGGATATAGCCCCCATATATAATTTCATCCGATTTTTTGTGAATGATACACCAAACTCCCAATATTTGTCCGATTGGGTCAAAATTTTGCACAGAATACTGAATTAGGTCCAGCCTGATGTCTGCGAAGTTATGCTAAAATCGGTTCAGATTTATATATAGCTCTCATATATATAAATTCGTCCGATTTTATGTAAATGATGCACCAAAACTCAATATTTGGCCGATTGGGACAAAATTTTGCAACGCACTGAATCAGGTGCATTGTTATGTTGGAATCGGTTCAGATTTAGATATAGCTTCCATATATAGTTTCGTCCGAATTTATGTTAATGGAGCACCTAAGCCCCTGAATATCTTCCGATTTGGACAAAATATAGCACAGCGTACTGAATCAGATGTATACTTATGTATGCGAAGTTTTGTTAACATCGGTTCAGATTTAGATATAGCTCCCATATATAGTTTCGTCCGATTTTATGTGAATGATGCACCTAACTTCCAACATTTGTCCGATTTGGACAACATTTTGTACAGAATACTGAATTAGGCCCAGACTGATGTCTGCGAAGTTTTGTTAATATCGGTTCAGATTTGGATATAGCTCCCATACATAATTTCATCAGATTTTTTGTGAATGATACACCAAACTCCCAATATTTGTCCGATTGGGTCAACATTTTGCACAGAGCACTGAATTAGATGCATACTTATGTTTGCGAAGTTTTGTTGGAATCGGTTCAGATTTAAATATAGCTCCCGGTTGAGATTTAAATATAGCTCCCATATATAGTTTCGTCCAACTTTATATTAATGGATCACCTAACTCCCAATATTTGTCCTATTTGGACAAAATTTTGCACAGAGTACTGAATTAGGCCCAGACTGATGTCTGCGAAGTTTTGTTGGAATCGGATTTAGATATAGCTCCCATATATAGTTTCGTCCGATTTTATGTGAATGATGCACCAAACTCCCAATATTTGTCCGATTTGTACAAAATTTTGCACAGAGTACTGAATAAGGCCCAGACTGATGTCTGCGAAGTTTTGTTGGAATCGGTTCAGATTTAAATATAGCTCTCATATATAGTTTCGTCCGATTTTTTGTGAATGATATGTTTATATATAGCTCCCATACATAATTTTACTCGACTTCATACAATTGGTACACCAAGTCTGCCCGGTTGGCATGCAATTTTCCATCGATTTCAGAATGGTATGTGTGGGGGGGGTTTGTTCAATTGGTTCAAATATCTATCTAGATAGCACACTTAATTTCTTCCGATTCCATCTCAATGGTCCTCCAAAGGTTCTATGTCTGTTCTATCTACAGGATATTGTATAGATTAACATCTCTTGTATGTACCCAAAGTGGTGAAGGATATCATATAGTCGGTCTCGTCCGACTTTTGAGCTTTCCTTACTGGTTTTTTCTGTAAAGAGCTTGGAGAATCTCGTCTATATATTGGAGAGCATATCTTTTTTGGGGTATACAGCCTCATGGAGAATCAACGAGCATCATTCCTTGATATCACAATTGTCTGTCACAATTTGCTGGCCATAGGCTCTACTATCCTAAACACACACACTAAAAAAATATACATACATACTAATTTGAATCAAAACATCAAAACTTTGTCTGATGTTGTTTTTTCCCAATGGGAAAATATATTGTTGTAGCTGTTTTCAGTTTTTTCCCTCAAATCTCATATAGAGCTGATTTTGTTTTTCCACAGCAAATGTATGCAAATCCCCCAGACGACAAAGAAACTGAAACAAATACCCCCTATCCCCAGTTGCTCGACTTGTTTACATAAAAAACCAAAGTAGAGGTAAGTATATACAAATATACATACATATTCATATATACATACATACATTTGTATATGAAGGATACCTCCGATATTGATGAGAATAATATAGAAGACAACAAACGAACTTCACTATGGAAACCTTTTTGTCGAAGGCAATATTTCCATATTTCGCCCGCTCCAATATCCCCGCACCAGCACTAAGTATTCCGCAGTACTGCATTCTCAACTGAATTTAGAGTACATTTAGGTTGTTGTTTTTTGTTTTTTTTTTTTTTTTTTGCTTTTGTTCTTCCCTTTTGATAAAATAAACCGCACAAAGATAAAAAAGATTCGCCTTGACTGCCATTACCGCAAATGCAAAGCAGAATAAACGAAATGAGATTTTGTCTGATTTTAACAATGAAATCCATACAAGTTTTTGGGTGTAGGGGGAGAGGGGACGGTTCACGGAACAACATAGAATCCACTTTGCAAAATATAAATGGATTACACGATGGAAATCCATCGACGATATTGAACTGTTCGAAGTTGTGTTCCTTTGAGTTTTTTTCTTTTATTTTATATTGGGTCTTTAGCCAAGAATTTAAAAACAAATATGCAAAAGGAATAGGGGGGTTAAATAATTGAGGGGATGTACGTATTATTAAAAGTGAATTGTATGCAGATATGATATTAAAGGGAAATATTGTTAGTGTAGATGGTAAAACATATCATAGGGAGGGTATAATAACACTATCTTCCCGATAGAGTAACTCTTCGAAGTTTAGGGGGCTATGCCACCCTATTCAAAAATTCTTATATTTGGGGAGTTAGAGCTTCTATATTATTATCGGAACAAGGAGTGTTTTCGACTAGCAGGTGGGTAAGTTGTGCAGAATAGGTTTCTACTACCTGTTGTGTTTTTTATACCCTTCACCACACTGTGGTACAGGGTATTATGTCTTTGTGCATATGTTTGTAATAGGCAAAAGGAAACGAGATAGACACATGGTTTCTTTTGAGAATATGCATAGAATCACTTTCTGAGTCGATTTATGGATGTCCGTCCGTCCGTTTGTCCGTCCGTCTGTACGTCTATAGATGTTAAATTGTAAACAAAGTACAGGTCGCATTTATGATCCGATTTGGATTAAATTTGACACAAGTCACTTATTTGGCCTATGGACGAACCCTATTGAAATTGATGAAAATCGGTTCAGATTTGGATATAGCTCCCGTATATATTTTCGTCCGATATAGGAACCAAAGCCCCTATATATCTTTCGATTTGCACGAAATTTTGCATAGCGTACTGAATTAGGGCCAGAGTGATGTGTGCCAAGTTTCGTGAAAATCGGTTCAGATTTAGATATAGCTCTCATATATATGTTCGTCCGATTTTATGTAAATGGTGCACTAAATCCCTATAGATCTTTCGATTTTCAGGAAATTTGGCATGTCGTACTGAAATAAGCCTAGAATGATATGTGTTATGTTTCGAGAAAATTAGGTCAGATTTAGATATACCTCACATATATAATTTCGTCTGATTTAAGGTAAATGGGCCACCCAAGTCCCCATATATATTTTGATTTGCACGAAATTTGGCATAAGGTACTAAATTAGGTCCAGAATGATGTGTGCTATGTTTCGTGAAAATCGGTTCAGATTTAGATATAGCTCCCATATACATTTTCGTCTGACTTTATGTAAATGGTGTACCAAAGCCCCTATATATCTTTCGATTTTCAGGAAATTTGCCATGCCGTACTAAATTAAGTCTAGAATGATGATGAACCTGAAAATCGGTTCAGATTTTGATATAGCTCACTTATATATTTTCGTCCGATTTAATGTAAATTTTGCACGAAAATTCCTATATGTCTCTCGATTTCTACCAAATTTGGCATAGCGTACTGAATTAAGTATAGAATGAGGTTTGTTCAGTTT